GTGTGGACCATCACAATGGACAATCAATGTGGGTAGCCAGTGTGGACCATCACAATGGACAATCAATGTGGGTAGCCAGTGTGGACTATCACAATGGACAATCAATGTGGGTAGCCAGTGTGGATGATCAGGAGACAGAATGGGTGGTCAATAGAGGTCATCACAGTGGAGGGTCAGTGTAGACAATTAAGGTGGAGGGTCAGTCCTGGAGGTCAGTAAGCTGACCAGGGTGGTTGATTAGAACATAGATGACCAAGTGGGCAGTCAGATGGATGGTCAATGAGAGATGATCTTGCAGCATCAGGATAGACGGTCACTGAATACCAAGTGTGGTCCTCAGCAAGAGGACCTCAGGGACAAGGAAGTCTCTTACCAGGGGGCCTGGAGGACCCATCTGTCCAGGGGGTCCCAGGAGGCCTGGCTCACCCTAAAGATGAAACAGAACATGGGGTAGGTCCCACCCTGACAGAGCCCAATGTGGACCCTCCACCTTCTACCAAGGTCAGCTCCTCCTGATTGAAGACGAATCAGGTGAGGAGACCACGCATGCATCTGTTCCCCTTGCCTTTGCCCACCCAAGCTCCCACTCACCACAGGTCCAGGGATCCCTGGAAGACCCTCAGGTCCAGGACGCCCAGGAGGCCCTCGAGCCCCAAGTGGGCCTGCCCTTCCAGGGGGTCCATCAGGGCCCGGCTCTCCCTGAAACAGACAGAGTCAGAGGAAGAGGGAATGAGGCAGGATACCTGTGTCCTAACCACAGGCAAGAGGCAGAAGGGATTGGACCCTCCCTCATTCTGTAGGCCCAGCTGTTCCCCAAGGGGTCAGCAGAGGACTCGGCCGGAGATGCCACACTCACCTTGGCACCTTTCTGCCCTTCTTTCCCTTCTTTGCCCACGCGGCCTGAAGGACCCTGAGGAGGGAAAGACAGTGTGAGCACGGGCGCCTGTGGGGGTCCTTGGTGTGAGCAGGGGGGGCTCCCTGTGTGGACATGAAGGGTCCCCTGTGTGGACATGAGGGGGTTCCTGTGTGGGTGAGGGGGCCCCTGTGTGGGTGAGGAGGCCCCTGTGTGGACATGAGGGGCCCCTGTGTGGGTGAGGAGGCTCCTGTGTGGACATGAGGGGCCCCTGTGTGGGTGAGGGGGCGCCTGTGTGGGTGAGGGGGCCCCTGTGCGGGTGAGGAGGCCCCTGTGTGGACATGAGGGGCCCCTGTGTGGGTGAGGGGGCCCCTGTGTGGACATGAGGGGCCCCTGTGTGGGTGAGGGGGCGCCTGTGTGGGTGAGGGGGCCCCTGTGTGGACATGAGGGGGCTCTGTGTGGGTAAGGGGGCTCCTGTGTGGACATGAGGGGGCTCTGTGTGGGTAAGGGGGCTCCTGTGTGGACATGAGGGGGCTCCTGTGTGGATGAGGGGGCTCCTGTGTGGACATGAGGGGGCCCTGTGTGCAATGAGGGGGCTCTGTGTGGACATGAGGGGACCTGTGTGGAATGAAGGGGCTCTGTGTGGACATGAGGGGGGCCTGTGTGGGTGAGCGGGGCTTAGGTGGTTGAGCGGGGGCCTGTGTGGGTGAGCGGGGGCTGTGTGGGTGAGTGGGGGCTGTGTGGGTGAGCGGGGCCTGTGTAGGTGAGCGGGGGCTGTGTGGTTGAGCAGGGGCCTGTGTAGGTGAGCGGGGGCCTGTGTGGGTGAGCGGGGGCCTGTGTGGGTGAGTGGGGGCCTGTGTGGGTGAGCGGGGCTTAGGTGGTTGAGCGGGGGCCTGTGTGGGTGAGCGAGGGTTAAGTGGGTGAGTGGGGGCTGTGTGGGTGAGCGGGGGCTGTGTGGGTTAGTGGGGCCTGTGTAGGAAGTGGGGGGCCCCTGTGTGGATGAGCAACCCCTGAGTGGGTGAGTGGGGGCTGTGTAGGTAAGCGGGGGCCTGTGTAGGTGAGTGGAGGTTTGTGCAGTCAGGAAAGGATGAGCACCAAGGCAGCCAGGATGTGGAATTTACTCACCCTCTTGCCAGGGGGTCCAGGGGGGCCTGGTTCCCCAGAAGCACCAGGTGGGCCCTGAGAGGTTATAATAGTAACAGTGGTCAAGTTAGCTAACAACTCTGCTTCAAGATGCCCTCAGCAAGGAGAGCGTGTCCCCCAAAACACCACCCAGCACCAGCTGTCTCCCACCTTCCCCAGTGGCTCAAGGTCATGGTAAAGGTTTGCTCACTCACCGCCTCCCCAACCCTGCTCTCCCAGCACCATCCCCCCATCTCCAACTCACCGGACCCCCAACATCACCGTGGTCTCCTTTCTCCCCTGGGGAGCCCTCTACACCCTGGAGGGAGAAAATCAGGTTGGGAGGGATCATGGGGGTCCCATGGGGATTTGGAGGACAGTGAAGGTCATTTACTTCACCGAGCCACCCAGGTGTGTGGGTTGGGGTAATGGAGACAAGGGGTTGGGGAAATGGTGAGCTTGGGGTGGGGTGGGAATCAGTGAATCGGGTCATACCCACCACAACTCCAGGGTCTCCTGGGGGTCCTAGATCTCCAGGGAGTCCTTTGAGACCCTGGACCAAGACATAATTAATAATCACATCTCTGAATCCCTGGACATTTATTCATTTAACGGACACATTAACTCCTAAAAGTCCTGGGGCTCAAGCCTCTGACCAGGGCGAGGCACAGAATTCTGGCCCTCTGAGAGCAGTTATCACAGGGGTTCAGGAGGGAGGGGACTGAGCAGAGATGTGGTACACATGTCCTCACTTCCTTTGCCCTGTAGCCCCTGAATCAGGACTCACACAGGGAAACGTCACTCAAAGAGAAGATAAAATGCAAATCAAGGTCCCCCAAACTCCGAGGCTCTTCACTGCCTCCATCAGGAGGCTCAGAGCTCCCCACCCCTGGTGGAAGGGCCTGGACCTCTACCTCATGTCCCAGATCAGCTGTAGCTTTGACCTAACATTGACCTCAACCTTGACCTTTCTGACACTATGAGAATGATTCCCTGGGAAAGAAAAGTTATGCTCACACACAAAGGTGTAAACCACTGTATTTTGTGATGGTTCATTGATTTAATCAGTTATGTTCTGGGTTGCTCATGGGGTTGGTGACTCCAAGCACTGGGACCCCTGGCTGAATATCTGGGAGCTGGTTGGAGTATGCACATGAGTCCTGCACACACACACACACACACACACACACACACACACCTCCCCAGAACTCACCATATTCCCTTTGGCACCATCCTCTCCAGGGGGCCCTTTCTTGCCTGGTGGCCCAGCAGCTCCAGACGGGCCTGAGTCCCCCTTTTCACCCACTTCTCCTTTAGGCCCCTTTGTGGAGACAGAGGTCAGACGTCAGAGTGGCCTGAATGCTCCAGGGGTCAAGGGTTAGCAGACCTTCAGGAATCAGATCAGCATGGTCTGAAGCTTTCCTGGGGTCAAAGGCCAAAGTATCCTATGCTGCCCAAGGTCATGGAGACCTAGGACTTCCAGGGGCCAGGGTGGTACGTGTCACCTTAGAGTGAATTAAAAAAGAGGTCCCTCAACTGCAATGACAGAGGTTTGCGGTTCGAATCCACCAGATGCTCTGCTGGAGAAGGAGGGGCAATCTCCTCCTGTACCAGTCAGATCTGATTTGACAGTACATGCACAAAAAAAATAATAATAAAGAAAAAAGAAAAAGAAGAGGTCCCTTCTGAGAAACTCTGAGTAGCCTTGGAGCTGAGATCCACGGCCCCTCTTGACCTTGAGCCTTTGGATGTACGAGCTGCAAAACCTTGCAGTGGCCCATCTGAGACTCCCCAGGGTTCTTGTGTCAAGAGTGTCAGGGATGAGTATAGCCACAGGTCAGTCCATGAGATGGAAAGAGAAGCCCAGTCACTCACCGGGATGCCTGGGGGTCCTGGGGGTCCTTGATCTCCAGCATCCCCTGGCTCACCCTAAAAACAACAGAATAAGGGTGGAGAGAGGTCACACTGCCGAGGCAAAGAGGAGCAACCCAGCATGTCCACCCTCCATCATAACCCACTCTTCTTCTTCTTCCCTCTCTCACCTTCTCGCCCACAGCGCCTGGCTGACCAACTCCTCCAGGCAGCCCTGGAGGACCCTGGGAAACAACAAGGAATCAGACTGGAATCCTGACATACCCTTCCTGGGAAATACATCTTCCCTGCTTATGAGGCATCCTGGTCCCATCAGAGTTCTCACCTCTGATCCACTTGGTCCATGAGGGCCCCGAGGACCTGGAGCTCCATGGGGACCCTGTGAGAGGGTCAGAATAGCATCAAGTGTCCCTATGATTCCCACAGACACAGCATCCTTGATGCTTGCGACTCATGTAACCCTTGAAATGACAACGATGCCTCAAGATCTGCCAAAGTGGACCCCATTCCCCCTGAACACGACTCCCCTTCCCATCTTTCCCTGGGGTTCGTACCATGGATCCTACGTCTCCGACCTCCCCTTTTTCTCCTGGAGGGCCTGGCATCCCCTAGAGAACAAGGAGCCAACATTGAGGCATGCTGCTGTTGATGTTGTTGTTGAGTAATGTCAAGTTGGAATGGATTCACAGCTGACCCTCCAGTAGGTTTTCAGAGGTGGTGAATCACCCAGGAGATTGCCCACCTTTCTCCCATGGAACAGCTGGTGGATTTGAACCACGTGCCTTCAGGATGGCAGTGCAGCTCCTTACCACTAGGCCACCAGAGTCGCTAGAGTAAGGCATAGGGTGAAGGAAACAGTGAACTACTTCGTAACTTAGACACCTACCTGCAGGCCAGGGGGGCCAATGACTCCCGGAAAGCCTCTCACTCCATCATCTCCTTTCTGTCCAAAGAGACCTGGGGGTCCCCGGCGTCCCTGAGCTCCGTCTGATCCCTGGCAGGGGCACAGTTAGGGTTGAGGTCATGGATTACAAATGGGGTCATGGTCAAGGGTGAAGATTGAGGTTAAGGGTTGGAGTAAGAGTTGAGAGTTGAGGAAGTTTGGAGCTCGAGTCTGGGTTAAGGATCAAGTTTTAGGAGTGCAGTCAAAGGTTGAGTCAAAGTTTGAGATTGGTATTAGATGGTGAGTCAGGGTCAGATTAAAGTTAAGGCCATTAACAGGGCTCCAGTGAGGTTGGGTTTGAAGTTGAAGTTGAAGATGCAAGTTTGAATTTAGCTTTGGTGTCAACATTGGAGGGTAGGTCAGGGAGAGAGGTTGAAGTTAAGACTGATTTCAGAGTTTGACTAATAAGGGTTTGGATTTGGGATTGAAACGAAAGTCATGAGCAGAGTTGAACCGGGACTAAGATGGTTCAGAGTTGGGAGTTGAGGTTGGAACTGGTTCCACTGAAAGAGTTGTGTTGATACTAGCTGTTAGCATTAAGGGGTAAGTCAGGGTGAAGGGCGAGGTCCGCCCTGATTCAGGTTGGAGAAAGCTCTCCTTTCCCACCTAGCTTGGAGCACTCACTGGCGGGCCTGGGTGTCCTGCAGGACCTCGGATTCCTGCTGGTCCAGGAGGGCCCTAGGGAGCAGAGCAAAGTTCAAAACACCCTCAGGTTCAGGATTGAGAAGGGGCCCACACAAAGTCCATCCCTACTTCCTTGTCCACACCTCCTTCTTGGAAAAAGTATTCCCACCAGGAAGAGACAGCTACATCCTCCCAACCTTGCCTTCCCGGAGACCAATGATTGGGATCAGAAATGGACATCTGCCCCAACATTGCCTGTCCAGACCTTGTCCCCAGAAATGGTACCATGACCTGGGCACTGAACTGCTAGCTAGACTGAACTTAGAGGGAAACTGGGGCAAGATGCCTCACAGTCAAAGTCATACGCAGAGAAGTAGATGCCACCAAGGAAAATGAGAGTATAAATGTTCCATTCTCCTGGAGGCCCAGGTACTCTGCAGTTGAGTTCTGTGACCCCCTTGAGGTTTCAAGATGGAGCCCAGGAAAGCCAGAAATTCCATGGTTTTCTTTCTTCCACCTTCCACATCCCTGATTGCCCTCTTCCCACCAACGAAGAGCCCTCCCAGCTGGGGCCACCACTCACCGCATCCCCCTTATCGCCTTTGCTCCCTTTGTGACCAGGGGAGCCCACTTCACCCTGCAGAGGAAACGAGATGAGGAACAACCTGATCCCCTCAGGAGGATCCCCCTGTCCCCAGACTCTCCCTCTCCACGAGCCACTCACCTTGTCCCCTTCCTCACCAGAAGGCCCAACAGCTCCAGTGGGTCCAGGAAGCCCCAGGGGCCCTGGGATCCCATCTTTGCCAGTGGGGCCTGGGGAGCCCCGTTCACCCTGGTGGAGTTGGAAATGGGCATGTCAGACACCAGGGATAGAACACCTCATGGAATGGGCTATGTGGAGCACTAAGTCCTGAGGAATAGAGTGAGATCACTCACCGGGGAACCTTTCTCTCCTGGGGGGCCAACAGGTCCTGGACCTCCACTTTGACCAGGAAGCCCAATGGCTCCTGCTGGGCCTACAGGACCTCGCTCACCAGGGGAGCCCTGAAAATGAAGAGTCAGGAATATTAATCATGGTCACTCGATCACTGCCATCAAGTCGACCCTCCTCTGGGCTTCCAAGGCTGAATCACATGGGAGGAGACGGTCCACCTTCCTTCTCAAGGGTTTAAACCACCAGAGAAGCTCAGCCTCTGGGTTAGCCCCCCAACTCCCTATAGACTGAGTCATCAGAGCTCCCTAAGAACCCTAATAATGTTGTTAGGTGATGTCGAGTCGAGTCCAGCTCATAGTAACCTTATGAACAACAGACCTGAACTCTGCTCTATCCTGTGCCGTCCTCATCGTTCTGATGCCCTTGAGCCCATGACTGCAGTCATTGTGTTCATTCATTTCACCGGGGGGGGGGTCTTTCTCCATTTCGCTGACCCTCCTTATTGTCCCTTTCCAAGGAATAGCCTCTCTTAGTCAAAGGTCCAAAGTATGAGACACAGAGCTTCATCGCCTTTGCCTCCAAGGAGCCCTCTGGCTGCACTTTTTCCATATTGCTGTTGCTATGTATTGTTATCGAATCACCTGTGACCCATAGCGACCCTATATACAGCAGCCCTGAATCATGCCCTGTCCTGAGCCAGGCTCACTAATTCCAACACACCAACCCCCATTGCTCCAGTCACTGTATCAATCCATCTCATCCGGGGTCTTCCTCTCTTGAGCTGTCTGTCCACCCTTCCAAGCATGATGTCCAAGGACCAATGTCTCCTGGCCACATGCCCAAAGTAAGTGAAGCAGAGCTTCCAAATCCTAGCCTCCAAGGAGAAACTTGGCTTCACCCCCTCCAAGACAGACCTATTTGTTTTCTTGGTAGTTCATGGTATGTTCAAAACTCTTCTCCAACACCACAATTTGAAGACATCAATTTTTCTTCTGTCTTCTTTAGTCATTGTCCAGCCCCCTGATGCAGAGCAAGTAATTGCGAAGTCCATGGCCTTCAGTAGACGCACCTTGGTCTCTAGACTGACAGTGTTGCTAGGGCGGGGTTTCAAGCAGTGAGGCACCAAGAAAGGCCTTTACTAGCATCACCTCCAGCTGTTTTCCTCCAGCAGCAGAGGGTGCTGTGAGCATGGTCAATCCCTGCTTTTCTCAGAGGCCTCCAACCCACTGAGAAGAGAAGTTGGCCTCCCTCCTGTGGCCCACAGCCCTACACATCCGACCCCATCATCTCCCTGTACTCTCTCTTCCCCAGAATCACTCTCACTTGCTCTACTCCATTCCTATCGGTCACCTCCCTGTTTCTGAAACCCACCAGGCAAGCTCCAGCTTCTGGGTCTATTGCATCTACTGCTTCTCTGCCTGGAACACTCTCCGCTCAAATATGTACTGAGTTCCTCCCTCACTTCCTCCCCATCTCAGCTCAAAAGGCACTTTCTTCTCCAGAGGCCTTCCTTGGATTTTTTTAAAAAATAAGATGATGATGATGATGATGATTAATTTTAATGAAAATTTACAGATATTTTGGATTTCCATTCATTCATTTTTACACTTTTCTCCCTGCCCACCCCTCTCCTCCAGTTCGTTCTTCTCTTAGAGAAGTAAAAGAAAAACTTTCATTGTTATACAATCCCCCCCCCGCCAAGTACACTCCATTGTGCAGCCTTCATTCAGGACTCCTGTCATGACAACAATACCTAATCCTATATCCCTTTTTTCAAGATTGGTGGATGATTTGTCAACAATCTGTGTTATGCAGATGACACAACCCTGCTTGCTGAAAATGAAAAGGACCTGAAGCACCTGCTGCAGAGGGTCAAGGACTGTAGCCTACAATATGGATTGAGGCTCAATGTCAAGAAGACAAAGATTCTCACCATTGGACCAATTGGCAGCATCAGGATGGATGGTGGAGAGATTGAGATTGTACACAGCTTTAGTTTGCTTGGCTCCACAGTCAACACTCTTGGCACCAGTAGCCAGGAAATTAAAAGGCACATTGCCATGGGAAAGTCTGCTGTTAGGGACCTCTCCAAAGTACTGAAGAGCAATGGTGTCTCTCTGGAGACTAAGGTGGGTGTGATACAGACCATGGTCTTCACAATCACTTGTTATGCATCAGAGAGTTGGACAATGACCAAGGAGGAGAGAAGGAGAATTGATGCCTTTGAGCTGTGGTGCTGGAGAAAAGTATTGAGAATACCATAGACTGCTAGGAAAACAAACAGATTTGTCCTGGAGAGGGTTAAACCAGGTGGCTCCTTGGAGGCAAGGATTCTGAGGCTCCGTCTAACATACTTTGGACATGTTGTGAGGAGAGACTGGTTCTTAGAGAGGGACATCATGCTTGGGAGGGTGGAGGGACAGCACAGGAGGGAAAGGCCCTCTATGAGATGGATTGATTCAGTGACTGGGATAATCAGGATGGGAGTGTCAGAGACAGTGCGAATGGCACAGGACAGAGCAGAGTTTAGGGCTGTTGTACATAGGATCGCTATGTGTCACAAGTGACTCGATGGCACATAACAACAACAACATACCCCTTTTAAACAGTTCTCTCCCTCATCTGTTTCAGAGGCCTTCCTTCTACCATCCCTTAGAAGAAGTGCAGGCAGGAGACAAGGATGTTAAAGTTAGAAGCGAGGATGGGAAGGCTTTGTCTCCCGCGTGTATTTTGGACATGTTTATCAAGAGGGGCTAGTCCTTGGAAGAAGACCTCTGACTGAAAGGTGGAGGGTCAGAAAAGGGGAGGAAGAGCCTCCACGGCATGGACTGACATGGTAACTGTAACAATGGAATTATACAATCATAGAATTGGGTATTATTGTCATGACAGGGGTCCAGAGTGAAGGCTGCATAGTGGAGTGGACTTGGGGGGAGGGATTGCATAACAATGAAATAAGTTTTTCTTTTACTTTTCAAGGAGAAGAATGAATTGGAGGGTGGGGTGGACAGGGAGAAAAGTACAACAACTTTTGGTGGATGTTTGGAAACCTTAAGTCTCTGTAAACTTTCATTAAAATGAATTTTTTAGAAAAGCTAACATTAAAAAAAAACCACAATTGGATTAGCACAGTGGAAATTGAGGATGGCGAGGGATAGGGCAGGGTTTCTGCTGTACATGGAATTGCTCTGACATGGATCAGAACTGGTGGGACCTAATAATAACATGGGATTTCACAACCACCTCACACACTGGTGAAAGCTGAACAGCGCGTGAGGAAGAGCTAAGAAGGACTGAACTGTGAGGAGCTAAGAGTTCAAAGAGCCTTTGAACTGTTGATGTTAGAGAGAAATGCTGAACACACCAGGGACTTTCCAAAAACCAAATGGGCCAGAGGGTCATGCAGCCAGATCACTCCTGAGATGCAAGGATGATGGGACTTGTTTTGCGTACTTGGGACATGTTGTCAGGAGACGCCAGTCCCTGGAGAAGCACACCACGCTTGATAAAGCAGAGGGTCCTCAAAAGAGAGGAAGCTCTCAATGAGGTGGACAACCCAGTGACCGGCACCATGGGCTTCAGCAAAGCAGAGGCTGCGATGGCGGCACAGGATTGGCCAGGGTTTCGATCTGTCGTACACGAGATTACTGTGAGTGGAAGCAGATTTGATGGCACCTGATAATAACAGCAGGGAATCTGGTGGTTTCGTGGTAAAGGACTGTGCTGCCAGCACAGAGGTGTGTGGTTCAAATCCACCAGCTTCTCCATGGGAGAATGATGGGCAATCTCTTCCTGTGCAATTTACTGCCTCTGACAACCAGCTAGTGGGTCATTTCCAACTCGTCAACAACACCCATAGTCCCTGTGGCCTTGTGGTTTATCTGGAGCGATAGTCAAACGCTGGATGGCTCCTTTCTTTAATTAGAATATAGACTCCCGACTATTGTTGTGTTTAGATTATGACTCACAGCCGCTGCGTGGACAGCATATCTGAACCTTGCTCTTTCCAATACATTCAAGCCCATTGTACAGTCACCGTATTGAAGCCCTGCTTTTCTTTCTCTGACCTTCCCGAGATAATGTCTTTCCCCAAGGACTGGCTCTTCCTGATGAGACGTTGATGTCTGGCACACAGGTAATTTATTAGTCGGGTAAACATAATCTCAAGTCGAGGTCTTTGTGAGGTGGGTCTCCTCATCACACTAAGGGTGGCAGCCCAACCAATGAGCCTGTCTGACTCCAGAGATGGTGACCTTAACCATGACCATGCTTCTCAGGTCCCTCAGGACCCCTCCACCTCCTCCCACTCCCATCCAGCAGATGCAGTTACACTTACATTGGCCCCAGTGGGGCCCGGAGGTCCTTTGTCACCTTTCAAGCCAGTCGGCCCCTGAGGGAGGAGATGATTCACTAAATAGGGCACCAAGGTGTTCAGGACCTGTCTGCACTTTGAGAGGCACCTGGACCCCATCTCCCTCCTAGGATTAGGCCCTGAGGTGGGAGAGGGTCCACTTCCACCAGGCCTCTCCAATCACCATTCCTTTACTGTCCCAGGTGGTCCTGCCCAGCATGCCATCACCCTGGCCCTTCTGTGCTCCCCCTTCCCTTCTCTGCCTCCCAGCCCAACCAGGTGCCTGGCAGGAAGGTTTCTAGTGGGTACTTACCAGGTCCCCGGGGGCTCCTTGGGGGCCTGGGAAGCCTCTGGGCCCAGGTGGTCCTTCCTTCCCAAGAGGTCCCGATGGGCCCGGGTCCCCCTGCAGGAGTACAGACGAAGGAGGTCAAGGTCACACTCACAGTCTATGAATCGGGGGCGGGGGGCCCCAGGAGTCCTGAGATGGTCTGAAGCTGTTGACAGACTTTGGAATCTGCAACCAAGGTTTCCCTCGGAACAAGACCTCACCTTGCTTCCCTCTCTGCCTTCCAGGCCCGGAAGACCTTGTTCACCAGGAGGCCCAGGAGGCCCCGGAGGTCCCCTCTCACCCAGAGGCCCCGCATCTCCTGTCTTTCCCTGGACAGGAAGAAGGAGCAGTTGAACAAGAGTAGGTTATGGGGCCCATCTGACATCCCAAACTCCCTCCAGGCTCTACCCCAAAGCAAGGCAAGCTGGGAAGCCCGGCAGGCGACTCTGACCTGAGGCCCCACGACACCGGCTGGCCCAGGTGGGCCTGTCTGACCTTGGAAGCCCTGGGGAGAGAAAGTGTCACATGGAGGGAGGGAGGAAGGACATCTTAGGGTCAGAGGTCAGAGGACAGGGGACACTCACCAATTCACCTCTTTGGCCAGGGTGCCCAGATCGCCCATCTTTTCCTTGGGGACCCTGAGGGATAAAGTGGGAGAGAGTTGGGCCACATATAAGGGTCCCCCCTACTCCCTGACTCCCCTCATCCAGCTCTCCATCAGGGTGAGCTCACTTACAGGGGGGCCCTTTGGCCCAGGGAATCCAGGGGGTCCTTGTAGACCAGGAAGACCCTGAAATAGAACCAAAAGGTACAGTCCAAGGCCGCTTGTGCTTGTGGAGGCCATTGAGCTTACACATATTGAGTGCTTAATGTATGCCAGCCAGCGCCAAGCACTACACACACACACACACACACACACACACACACACACACACACGTACGTTTTGTCATTGCAGCCTTTTGGGTTGAGGATTATGGTTAGTCCCATTTTAAAGGAGGAAACTGAGGTACAGAGAGGTTATGTGATCTTTCCCGGGTCAAATACAGCTGGTGAACAGCAGAGCGAGGAACTTGATTTCAGGGTTCTCTGGCTTCCGAGGCTGCGTTCTTTTAGCTTTATTATAATATTTCTCCAGCCCTTAGGGTTATACCCACCCAGAAACACCACATGCATCACACACAAAACCACACACATATACTAACCTTTTCTCCAGGGATCCCAGGGGCCCCATCTTGGCCCACATCTCCCTAGGACAGAGGAAGATCCGTGAATGAAAACAAATCCAACTGGAAGAAGTTGGCTGGGACTGAGCTAAGTCTGGTCTAAGGAGTCTCATGGTGACTCTGAGCAACCCAACCTATCCCATCCCATCTCATCTCATCTCATCCCATCTCATCCCATCCCATCCCATTAAATGCTGTGTCATCCCATCTCGTCGCATCCCATCCTGTCCCATCCCATCCCATCACATCCCATCCCATCCCATCCCATCCCATCCTGTCCCATCCCATCCCACCCCATCCTGCCCCATCCCATCTCATTCTGTCCTATCTCATCCCATCCTGTCCCATCCCATCCCATCTCATTTCATCCCATCCCATCCCATCCCATCCCATTCCATCCCACCCCATCACATCACATACCTTGGGGCCTGGCTGCCCCGTGGCACCTGGTTGCCCCCTCTCTCCACGGGAGCCCTGAGCAGAAAGAAAGCAGAGATTAGAAGTGAGAAGATGGGAGAGCATAAAAGATGAGGCCAAGCCCTCCAGGTTGGATGGGTCATCGCTCCTGCCCCCCCCCCAGAGACACAGACTTCTCCATGATCTCGCTTCACCCCCTCCTTTGTAGTCCTGCTCCCCCTCCCCACCCCACCCCAGCCCAGGCCCAGCCCATAGGGGATGGGGAAACACTCTTCACAGGACATTGTCTTACTGGTGGTCCCCGTTCTCCTTCCTGTCCCGACTGCCCAGCCTTCCCCTGAAGAGGAAACATGGTGAGAGAGACAGAAGGTAATGATCACGGGGTGCCACAAACACAGCTGCACACGTTACAGACCTAGAAAGATATCTGCGTGCACTCATTCACACACACAAGTGCACTGTTGACTCACAGAACCACATGATCACCCCAGACACCCAGGGGTACATACAGTGACATCTACAAGGTCCCAGCATGCAAGCTTGTGCCCTCGCATGGACTCCCACTCATCACAGCAGCACACGACACACATAGGTCATCACAACGCCCTTGGTGAGTCATAGACTCAAGCTGACACTGGAGTTTGCACACACGTGTTCCTAGTGTAACATATATGCGTGTGTGTGTGGATTCACAGGAGGATGCAGTCTTGACAAGCACATCAAGGCAAGCATACCAACCACTTGCCTTCAAGGCAATTCTGACTCCCAGTCATCTCGTGTGTGTAAAGTACAACTGGGCTCCATCGGGTTCTCAGTTCTAGAAGCCGATCATCCAACCTTGCCTCTGAGACAACTCTGGGTGAGCTTGAACCTCCAACCTTCTGGTTAGAAGCTGAGTGTGTAAACCATGTACACCAACCAGGGACTCTACTATACATGTACTCATGTGCAGTTGTTGTTGTTGTTGTGTACTGTCAAGTCAGAACTGACCCATAGCTGACCCTCCAGCAGTTTTTCAGAGGCAGTTTTCTCGCATGAAAGGAGAATGCACATCCTTCTCCCATGGAGCAGAGGGTGGATTCGAACCAGGTGCCTTCAGGATGGCAGTGCAGCTTTTTGCCACTAAGCCACCACCATCCCCACTCAGGCACATACACACACCCAATGTCCACTTACACACAGTCACAACGCACAGACAGCAATATAGTGCGTGAGTGCACACGGAAGCACGTGCACATGTGTGTACATCCATGTCCTTTCACACATGGTGCATACATGCCCCTCTCCTGTTTATGTCACACACACGCATGCAAGTTCGTGGCCTTTTTCACCCAGACATAATCCCGCAGGCAGCAGCACCCAGATTCTGACTAATCTACACGGAGAGGCCCTTGCTACATGCATGCACCCCTGGACTTGCAGGCATAACTGCCCTCCACGTCATATGTGATGCCCTCCACGTAGTCTGCATTCGTACAAGGATATGTGCACACACAGGTGCTCCCGGGCACGGATACAGCTCTACATGCTTCCCTTCGCAGGACCTTCCCTCTCCCCTAACCCCTCAGCCACAACTCACCCGCTTTCCTTTCTCTCCTGGTGGGCCCAGTGGTCCAGGAAAGCCAACAGATCCCTAGGTTGAAGATCCAAAGAAAAAAGAGATGAGGGGACGAGGTGGCATCAGGTGCAGCAGCGCCTCGCCCTGTCCAGACACACCATTCTTTGGAGGCTCTTTCCAGGCTCCTGACTCCAGAAGCTACCTTGGTGCCTCCAGCCCCAGCCCTCCTGTCTTCTCACTCCTCCCCACCTCGCCCCATCACTCACTCTCCTCCAGCCATGCTGGCCTCTCCAGCGTTCCTTGGGCATGTCAGTATAACTCCTGCCTCCAGACCTTTGCAATGGCTTGGCTATGCTCTTTTCCCAGGTTTCCACAAACCCAGGATATCTTGATGCCAGGATGATCCTCCAAGCCACCCTCCATCATGTTGCCCTCTTCCGTTTTCCCCATGACAGTTAGACTAAAATGAATTTGCTTCACTTTATTAACTTATACAGGGTTGGTTTTCCCACTGGGACGTGGGCCCCTGGTCTTATTCTCCATTGTCTATGATTTGTTGTTATTAGCTATCATTAAGTCGGTCTCCAACTCATGACAGTCCCATGCACAACGGAATGAAATGTCACTCAATCTGCTCCAGTCTCATGATTACTTGCAAGACAGGATCATTGTGAACCAGAAGGATTTCACTGACTGATTTTCTCCCTCTTTGCCCATCTTCATCTGGAAGCCCTGCTGAAATTTGTGCAGCATCTTAGAAACATTCAAACCTCCCCTGACAGAGAGGTTATGAAAGACCCCGGATGAGATGAATGGATACAGTAAATGGGCCAATGGAGGTAGGTGCACTGAAATCAGAGAGTCTGTCTCAGGGCACGGCAAGCTTCAGAGCTGCTATAAGTTGCAGGTGACTCAACAGCACATAACAACAACAACACATTGGGTAGGATTTATTGAGGAGTAGTGATGTCAGTTTGAAGACTAAGGTTCATCTGATTCAGCCCATGGTTTTTTCCAAATACTATGTATCCAAGAGGCTGTTCATTCATAGGGTCGCTATGAGTCGTCTACAACTCGACGGCATTAAACAACAATAACAATGACGACGACCAAGAGAGAGCTACGTTGGCCTGGTGGAAGGAAGCTGTGCTACCAAGCCGAAGGTGGGTGATTGTCATCTGTGGCTCTTGGCCAGGTTCAAATTGTCTTCCTGTCAAACATTCTTCTAGGTGGTACAGCACTGGTCTGTGCGTTGCTGTACAGAGGTAACTTGTGGTTGCTGTGATGCTGAAGACTGTGACAGTGATGTGCCAGTCGTGGTAATGGGCACCCATGGTGGACAGTGTTGGCTGGAGCTTCCCGACTAAATCAAGCCTGGAAGCAGGGAGCGGCATCCACTTCCAAAATGGCTTGCCTCCAGAAACTCTATGTACGAACAATGCTCAGGTTGTTCGTTCATAGGGTCGCTATGAGTCGTCTACGACTCGATGGCATTAAACAACAACAACATGTATCCAAGAGCCGGACAATGAATAAGGATGATGGAAAAAGAATTGATGACTTTGAGCTGTGATGTTGGAGAAGAGAACTGAACTTCCCATGGATGGCCAACAGAACAGATATGTCTTGGAGATGGTGCAGCTGCAGTGCTCTTTGGAGACAAGAATGATATACCTTTGCCTCACATACTTTGGGTATGTTGTTAGAAGGGGCTATTCCCTGGAGAGGGACATGATGCTAGGAAGGGTGGAGGGCAAAGGAGAGGAAGACCTTCAACCAGGTGACTGCTGCATTGGGCTCTTGTGTGTCAGGAAGTGTGAGGATGGCCCAGGACAGAACAGGGTTCAGATCTTTTATTTATAGGTTCACTATGAGTTGTGCTCAACTAGATGGCACATAACAACAAGCCACTAAGTTCTAAAATTCTACCACTGAATTAAGAGACTGTAGTCTTCTGTATGGATTACACTGCAACATAAAGCAAATGAGAATCTTTAGAAGTGGACCAACAAACAACATCCTGATAAATGGAGGAGAGACTGACATCAAGAATCTCATTGGAAGGCGATGTGGCACTTTCTCAGAAAGTTGGAAATAAAAACAACTATGAGACATTATCTCATCCCAGTCAGAATAGCAAAATTTAACAGAACAGCAAGCAACAAATGCTGGCGAGATTGTGGAGAAACTGGAACCCTTATTCACTGTTGGTGTGGAGTGTAAAATGGTGCAAACACTGTGGAAGGCGGTATGGCGCTTTCTCAAAAAGTTGCAAATAGAGATACCATTTGACCCAGCAATTCCACTACCGGGAATATACCCCAAAGAGACCATAAATGACATCCAAACAGAAATATGCACACCCATGCTTATCACTTTGTTCACAATAACAAGGAGTTGGAAGCAACCCATGTGCCCATCAACAAATAAATGGATAGAGAAGCTCTGGTATACTCACACAATGGAATACTATACTGCATTGAAAAACAAGGAACTCATGCAATATTATTCAAAATGGGTGACTCTGGAGGACACTATGCTGAGTGAAATATCTCAGTCACAAAAGGACAAATACTGCATGGTGCCACTGTTGTAAAA